GAACTCGCGGTATTATCGCAAATTTTTGAGTTCTTACGGCGAGTACTGTACTCGTCGGGAGTGACACGGGAGCCTAGGTTTCAACCAACATACTCTGCCTTTTACCAAAAGTATTTCAAAATATTAGCTGTTTGAATTAAGAACATATGTGTTTCATAATGAGCGGTGCAGCCTCTACGAATTCGCCAAAATGGGCATTAGTGAGCTATGCAATGATGACAATCTTTGAGCCCATATTACACCTTGCCTAGGCCATTTTTCAATGAAACAATGGCTCATTCTCTTTTCTTAAAAGATAAGAAGCTCGCTTCAAGATAGGTTTCATCTGCTTAAAAGGTAAAGACTGCGCTTCAAGATAAGTTTCATCTGGATGGCAGCGATTTTATAAGATCAGCTGAAATTTAACATACCTGACATGACCAGTCTTATGAAACCGATTATCCGAAAACCCCTGTTGAAGCAGTTATGGTGATTTGATCAACGAAGTTCAATCGAAGGCGAGTGATGAAAATGCTTCTTCAGTTTTCTCCTTCGCATGAACCAGTGACCCCCATAGATAGCTTGAGCGACGCTGTCGGATCAAGAAATGGCCAAGATAGAGCGTAGTACCAGAACCAGCCTACTCGACGTACCAACCAAGGCGGACTAGTTCTTGAGCGTTTCAAGAGTTGTAAAGGTTGCACCAATCGCACCAGAAGCCACACAATGTACGCAAGCAGCTTACTGCGGCCAGCTGTATGAAAAGGCGAGCACATTTGAACGGTTCGTCCAAATACAGCTTTCTTGCAACTTCTGTCGACACATTCTCGTCCAGCCTCTGAATTTACTTTGTTTGAAAGCCGAGTATTTCTTTGGATATGCCGATTTTCGCGCTTCCATAGTCTAGTTTGCACTACTCGAGACTACCACTTCCACTATTGGGCAAAAACTACAAGTACTCCGAAGTTATAGTGAAGGGTGCCTTCAAAAGTCTACTCTTGTTTGATGAGATGCTCAGATCGCGACATCAAATAGAAGAAATACCACAAATAGTAATCTTGTTGAACTTGTAACCACTAGTCGATTGCGAAAGCTCTGGTAACAATTTAATGACCATTACATCAGACAGGAAAGTTTTTGAAACATTTATTCCGAATAAACTGAAAACTTTATATTGACACGTCCAGTAAAATTGCTCGGCTCCAGTAATACACGAACGTTTCACAGTACTCACGAAAACGTTAGCTGTGCTTCCTTCACGTGTAAAAGACCAGTCCAAGCTGTTCACTGAAACATGTTAATGTTAGCTTGATGGAACGTAAGGCTGCATTGATTTTAATGGTGGTTCTCGATCGCCTAACGCAGTACGCCTCTAGAAACGCAGTACACCGGGGAAGAAACGTCTCTGAACAACTGATTCCCCTCGTTCTGTCGGTCTAAGAGATCATGCCACCCCTCGCGGCCTAGTGTAAGCAATAGATGACACTGTTAGGGTACAAGGATGATCAGGTCTGGGCCTGTTCCTCTTCCTGCTGACAATGGATGTCATCACAAAGAACCTGTAGAGAAACCATTGAAGATCAGCTCCTCGCTTGTGACATCTATCTAATATGGATAGCAGAGAAATCCGGGTTGGGCTGTAGAAGCAGCAGAAAGAGCTGACGGGGAATCGCTCCGCAGAGCGTGAAGACCAGACCTCAACTTCGAGGAGTGCGTTGAATCAGTAGTAGACTTGACGAGGCCATTGAAAGGGTACATGATTCAAGACACTCGAGGAGCGGACTAGCCTCCAATGGTAGAGTGGACCAGAAGCTGAATAAACGTAGCTTGGATGAAATGGAGGGGGTCTAGTGGATCCTGCAATGACGAATGTGCCCCACGACGCCCAGAGGAAGACGCAGCTGACAGTGTTGAGGCCGATGACCTGCGGAAACGAGTGCTAGCCTATAAGTTGGAATCATGAGAAACAGCTCCGTTCCGCTGAAGCGACAGTGCCCAGGTGGGCTCGCCATTTTACGCGACCGGACCGGATCGGAGGCGAAGACCTCATGGCGCTCACGCAAACAGCTTTTGTCCAGGTGAAGAAGAGGAAGTAGCTTCTGTGATGGTACGGGCACTAAAATGAAGTTCAAACCTCAAGGAAAGCCATCACAAGGAGTCTCAAAGAAGAGACGACGGAACCTGATCCGGAAGGACTGTCGAAGTTATAGTATTGGCATAAGATGGCGTTAATACTAGAAGGAAAGGAAGGTCACTGACAAGAACAGCAGGCCGTGGGACGACGTGAGATTAACGCTGGGAAGGAGAAGAAGAATGTTCGATCTTTTCAAAGCAGAAAGGCTGTAAGAGCATGGTGTGAGAATTAGTAGACCACATAAGAGTTTGATGAGTTCCCTGCTCTGACGCCCTGCACCACTACTCACTGAGTCGTTGCATGAAATATTTTATGCACAATCGAAAAGAATTCACAACAGGAGAGGATTTACAGCATACGAAACTGTTTGCAGGTTGATGCGCAGTGCGATTGATTTGACCCCGGTAGTTCCTCCGAAGGCAAATTTTTGCGAAGGAACCAATGTGGGCATCTTTATGTATGCCATTTCCCGAGAAAGCCTTTTACTATAAACTAATCAGAGAAATACCAAGCTGCAATAGTTCCAGACCATACATTTCTTGGCACTGTTGAGATTAAAGGTTTGGCAATGGGAAATCCCCATGATCTCATGAAAAGCCCCCGGAACCGTCTCTTGAAATTGTCCAGGATCATTTGCTGCGATCAAATTATGTATAACATCCAGAGTACTTTGGCTTTTGGAAATTTGAAAGGGCAAAAGTGGCTTTCATCAAAAAAANAAAAAAAAACGGATATCGTAAATAACATGGGAGACAACACTTGAAATTGCAGATCTTTTTTTGGATCTGGGAGAAACTTATAGAGCGATCCAACATTTGAAGGGAACGTTCTTCGAGAGAAACGCCACTTGGGCTTGCGCTGCTTTGACGTAAAAGCCATTCACTGGCACCCTTCCCCATCTACATATATGCTCTATTTGCTGCATGTTGGCGATTAGATCTTGATGCCATCAGTTGTTACCCTCTGCTGTAGCTATAATCACTGCCTCTTTTTCCTTGCACGAGCCTAGAATGCAGTCTTTTCCGATGAAGCTCCCATTTCAGTGTACTTCATTACTCCACTGGCTGTCGAAGAAATTTCATCATAATTTATCCACTCGAACTATTTATTCCAATTAGCTTTAAAACCGAAAAGCTTGTACAATTGATACTTTTTTAAACCAGTACTTCGTGACGCATTTGGCATAACTAATTGTAAGTATGTAGAATTTAGTAAGGGAAATTCTTAGATGTTATTTTGTTTTGGAATTGACGCTTCTCTCAGCTCAAACTAGAGCTAGAAAAAAGATAATAGGCCGTGGAAAATTTGTAAATGAAAAATGAGCATTACCCTCCTACTTTCTTCCGCAATTTTCCTTTCAAGCGTGTTCTTCACCGTAGTAACAGCTTCTGCCATCTTCTTCAAGCCCAGATTGCATTCTTTTATCTCTTTTCGAATCTTCGCCTGCTGAAATGTTTATACATTCGCACCTGGATGATAAAGATTTTCCAAATATTCTCCTCCTGTTATTCGCCTCCTTTGACTCGATTTTTAATCTCGCAATGACAATTTGCAGGTGACGCGCAAGCGGGGTTTTCTTTCTCATTGCAAGGAAACTCTACTATTCAAATTCAGCACCAACAGCGCCATGACTTGGCCGAATTAAAAAACATATCAGAGCAGAGACACAGCACCGACCAACGTATAACGCTCGCACTGTACGATATGGAATAGTCGTGACTCTTCGTTATGATCACGAGGGAACGTACGGACACCTTCGATATTCGATCAACACCTCAGGCGAGCTCTCAAAACACTGGAATTTCATAAGTTCCCACACCGAAGATTGAAAAGCTGGAACTGCCCGCGAAGCCAGTTCACGTATAAGCCGCCTATTATTAGGTGTAAAAAACGCAGTTTCAGCCGAATTGGTAGTTCCGCAGTTCGGCAGCCCAGCAGTTCCACTGTTCCACAGCCCTCCAAGCTGTAGTCTCTTATTTTCCAACCTTATCATCCTCCACTCTTCAAAGACTCAATGTCCAAAGAGGAGAGACAAGCATCTCATCGGCATCTAGGATAACGAACAAGTGCTGCACAATATAAACATATCATCGGAAAAAAGTCAAGATGCATTTGTCGAATCGTCACCCGCCCACCCTATGGACAAAACAATCAAGGTTGCACTTACCTAGACTAACTTCTATGATGGAGCGAGGTTGTGTAATTTATAATTTCAAAACAATAAATATTTCGATAAAGGTGCTATCGTTTGACACCTCATCATCAACTCGTCGAAACAAGGTTCATCAGTGATCACAACGATCTCGAACGAACGGGTGAGCTTCGTTGCGTGCGTCCGTCGCAGCCGTCGCAAGCGGCAGGTCAGCCCGCGATACTTGACGCGGATGTCGCAGTTGTCAGCGGGGCATACGATTTGTGCATGGTCCATAGCAGTCTGCTCAAAGAAAAGATAACACCGACAAATGCAAATCGTTCGTTCCACTGACTGCAAATCGTTCGCTCCATTTTCGCGATACTGTAATGTCATCTCGAGACCTCAGAGGGATCTGCCGCACGCGAAGTGGGCGGGGTGACCTACTTTCGACGGACGCGCGCAATGGACGTTCTCCCGAACGAAAGCACCACAATATACAAAAAATCGGAATTCAAAAAGCAAAACTTGATAAAAAAAATCAGTCTAAGAAATGAATATAGCTATAAGGAGTAAAGAGTTACACAAAACAAGGGATAGAAAAAGTAAAGAACCGGAAAGAATAAGGAAACGCATCAGAAATAAAAGTGATTATAGAAAGCTTGGATGAAGACAAATTTGCGCATATTTTTTGAAGCAAGTGGCGTTTGTGGCAACAGAAAATACTCGAGTATTGTGTTAATACTGTCTAGACTTGTTAGCTCTCGCACTCACCTCCTTTGGGAACGATGTGAGATCACTTTCCAGAAGCTTGTTTTGACTTTGAAGTTTCTGAAATGCCTCTTGAAGTTCTTTTATTGCGAGAAACCTGAAAAAACATTACAGCTTCCTATACTTTGAAAAAAAAATTGAAAATTTCATGTGTTTCTTCATGTTCCAAATGTTTGTGTCGCCCTCATATTTGGCGAAATTTCTCACACCTTTCTTCTTCCTCTTTCTTGAGACGGGTTAGTAAATGTTGCGTGATGTTATCGGTTTTGTCGGATATGTTGCTGAGCTTAAACATGATTTGTTCTTAGATCGATAAAACGGCGAAAGAGAGTGGCTTACCTCTTTCGGTAATTGTTTATCAACCTTGACCAACATCTTGTCTTGGATCTTTTTCATGGACTCACTCAGATTCGAGAGATTTTCTAGTCGATGTCTGAGTTCATCAACCTTGTCGCTGGGAGCAAGTTTACCGAGTTCTTGAGACAATTTCTTTCGCTCTTCGGAAACTTCTAAAAACTACTACTTCTTCATAATATTCTATAATATTTGAGATAGAATTCTTATGGTTAGGATAAATTCAGTTCATCATATGAGCTAAAAGACATGAGCACTCAAAAACAACGAAAGATGAGCGAAATAAGCGAAAGCGAAATAACATAGGAGCAGAATTGCGGCATTTGGCAATAGTCCATATAAGAGGTAATCTTAGGTTTCCATAATCTGGGATTAGTTACACAAAAAAGTAGGAAGCTCCCAAAGACCTAAAGTAGCTCCAAAGTTATACGACAGGCAGCAAGTAAAACATACAATTACAGCATCTGAGACGTCGTATTTGATCTTATTCGATTGCACTAACAGTCTCTTTCGATAGAGGCTTCCGATAAAAGGATTGTGAATAGAAGTAACCATTTTATAGCCCTAAAGTTTTGGCAGTCTCTCCCAAGCGTTCCTACACAACGCTGCCGTACTAAGAACTCCCTCATGTTCACGGGAATAAGGTTCTTTCCTACAACTATTTTTTCATATGGATGCTCACGATTATCTTGCAAGGCTCTGACGGGTAGGGAGGGGGTAGATAGAGCGTGGAAAGCTGGCGGAGCTATCCAAGAATGAACAGGAGGTTTATTTGTAAAAGTCGGCCACTCTCCAAAGTTTTGTCGGCTCTAACATTGCATAAATTGGTTGAAACTGCTACACCATTCTACTTTTCTTCTATTCCCTCCTCCCAAGCAACTTGACATTTTTCAATTGTAGTTAGATGTATCACCCATCTGATAAATAGAAATTCTTGCAAAGAAAATTTTTGAGGTTGCTCTGCGCGAAATCGATTTATGAATATGGAGGCCTAAACAGTCGAAACCTCGAAAACTGCAGTGCGTCTCCAAATGATACAGCCACTGGTTTTCCCAAAATCTTACAATATACGATGTTCCCGAAAAAGTGCAAAAGGAAAAAATATGGCAAATCTGAATTGCAATTCGCACGTTACCACCAAGTTCCAGCTCCACGTTACCACCATATTCTAGCTCGGACACGCAAACATTTTTTCGGTCAATTTTTCAGTAGAGGGTGCTTTTCTAACGTCTCCAAATGTTACAGCCACTTCATGTCATCGTGTCGTGTTTTAGTTCAGCGAAGCGAAATTGTTTTGTTTACGTAAAGTTCTTCATTTTCAGGCAACGGGAAGAGGGAAATTGCTTTCGGAATTCGAGAAAGGTCAAGTTCTCGCGAAAAAGGAGCAAAGACTGTCGAATCGCAGAATCGCGCGAGATTTGGGTCGATATCACGCAGTTATGGATAATTTCATCAATAATCCTGAAGTCTATAGAACCAGAAGGAGTGCCGGACGTCCTTTGCTGCAGCCCGATAGAGACAAGCGCAGTAATTTGAGGGAAACGTCGAGCTCTATCAAGTCCTGTATAAGAATCCGATCGTCTTTGAACCTCAATGTTTCAAAAAACACTGTTTGGAGGGTGATCAGAAAGTCCAAATTCATCGTCAAGCGACAAAAAGACATCGGGAAAATCGGGTCGCTTTCTCCAGAAGGTGCAGCCGAACCGAGTGGAATAAGGTGTTCTTTATGTGCTGACATTTCACCTTCCTTGATGGTTTTCGTTCTTGAGGTCGTTTTTCCCGGGTCGTATGGAAAAAAGTTCGATTGCTAGGCGTTGTGCACTTCTCCCTTTCTGACGTCAGAATCGGCACCGAAATCAATTCACAATTTACGTCAGCAGGGGCAAGCTTGGTTCTCTCGGCACTTCTCCCTGACTGGCGAACAGCCCCGATTTGATTTCGATGGAAAATGTATGAGGCTCCATGGTGCTGAAGATTTACGCCCAAAACAAGCAGTTCCGAGGGGCCAAAGAGTTGAAAAAAGCGATCATCTAAGCATGGCACCAAGTTGACCTGGAGCTAATTGATAATTTTTGTTTGAGCCTAGATCACCGTATTTCCGAAGTAATTCGAAGGAATGGTGGACCAATTGATTACTGACTTCGAATTTGAACCACTGACGAATCATGTATTTGTTTCCCTTATTCTTTTTCTTTCACCCTCTATCCCCATAGATATTAAAGCTTACTTGAACTTTTAAATTGCTTTGCAACTTTCTCTCCTTGTTGTATGTTTGCTGTTAAACAACTTAATCTTGTTAGTGGCTGTATCATTTGGAGATGTCGAAAAAGCACCATTTACTGAAAAATTGACCAGAAAAATGTTTGTGCTTTCGAGCTGGAATTTGGGGATAATGTGCGAATTGCAATTCAGGTTCGACACATTCTTTTCCTTTTCTTTTTCTCAGAAACATCGTATACTGTGAGTCTTTGGGAAAATCAGAGGTGACATTTGGAGACGCTTTGTATTAGATAACCTTTTGGGATTTTTCTGAACATGGGTGAATAAGTCGTGTTGTGTTTTGGGTACTATTTTTCAAGCTTTTACAAGAAAATAGATAGTGTCTCAAGAAACATACCTCTCTGAGCCGAAGCCATTCTCTGTTCTAGCAGCAGAAGACCATTCGCGTTCATCTTGCTCTTATCCGCTGCGATTGTTTCCAATTCACGTCGAAACTTAATTGCGATTTGAAAGGGGAGAATGAGCCGCTTATGTCGAATGTCTCATATTCATTTTACATAACTGACTTGTTTTAAACTTCCAACAAAGAATGATCCGTATACCCGAAAAAATCTTGAGCTAAAGACTCTATACAATGGTGCTAAAATTCGTGTTATACAAGCAGGGTTATTCCCAGCAAAATGTGAGTGGAGCACGAGTTTCCGCGAATACTGTTGTTTTTCCGTTGAAACCATCGGTAAACCGTTTAGAGTGGTAGTGGTTCGCTCCAACTCATTCAAGTTCAGAATGGAGCTGCTCAGACAACGAGTAGAGTTTCATTATTTTCCAATATTGGGCGACTACGGTGTGAGTGTGAATTTGGGCTGTTGAGTTCACGATCGAACGTGGCTTCAGATCTGATATATGCTCAACGATTCTCATAACAAATAAAAGAAATCCTCGCAAGGTTGGCTAGTTGTGGACAAAACCCCGGCGAACCCGTACCTGTGCTATCCGGGACCCCGGCATAGAAGCCATTGAGAAGGCGAAGGCAAGTGTGGTCTCGTCTTCTGGGTAGTGTGAGAGATAAGGGCATGGTACCCAGATAGGTCAGATATGGGTTCGAGCTCCGTCCCAGGCCAGATTTTTGACCATAACTGCCAACCGTGTAAAAACTTTCAGATTGGGTACTATGGCAAATACAAGCATTCACCAAACATCAAGTCAAAAATGTGAAGAAAACGTCACAGTTCTCGAAATCGTTTCGCGGATTCGGGGTTTTTATTTGAGGTGAGCCTTTGAAAACACCTAGGCATGAAGTGAATGGGTCGCTTACTTACTTAAACTTGTTACTCATACGGCTCGCATTCAATCATGTGCGAGACCAGCAACAAACCATTCGTTTTTGTCATTCGCAACCGCCATCCATGGCTGACTTAGAATACGACGAAAATGACGATATGATGAGTCGTTCAGCTGCACTCGCAGCTCTTCTACATGATTGACGTGCGCAACTGGCAGCGCCTTCCCTTAGACCGTGTATGTCTTGTATGTCTTGTTTTCCCCATCCATTTGCTATTATTCCCTCTCAACAAGATATGATAGGCCCATTGAAATTCACGGTTTTAATGTGCTCCACCGGGTCGCGAAGGCTAAACAATTTAGCATATCGGAGCTGTGTAGCTCAGGACATTGAGGGAGAAGGTTGAACCTGAAAAGACATTGCTCGTGAAAAGATATCGCTTGTGAATTACGCTCGAAGCTCTTGACAGGATGCAGTAGTTACTCATGTATTCGAGGCGTAACAGAGCGGCAGAAAATTGTAGAATCGAACAGTTTAGCGCGAAGTTTCGGATCAGCCAGATTGTTGGTGGTTTCCTTTCCTTCAGAGATTCAAAGGTCGCTCACGCTGCCATCTTACCAGTTCTTCCTTTATGCTGTTTTCATGTTTATGGAACGTCCGGGATAAATGTAAGACGATCTCTACTTGCAAAGTGTACCATCGATCTCGAATTGCCATCCCGAGCATTCTTTATGAACTGTGCCTTTGTTTGGTTGATCAGCAGCCCTACCTTCTCCCTTGCTCCAGTGACTTCTGCAAGCATACTCACAGCTTCCGCAACGCCGATTGAAAAGAGAACAATGACGTCCGCAAAACGAAGAACAAGGGAACTATCTACCCTTCTGAATGCCCCTCTCCTACAAATCGTAACCCATTGCATCGTTGCTGTGAACAGCTTTGACGACCCGCCAACTTCGGAGAATTCGTGAGTAGATTCTATACACCCCGAGATTTTCACTTTCAGCAGAACACACTAGGTATGCAACCATGTTCGACTATCGCTTGATTTCGGCATGTTATCTTGATGAAGGTGTTCTTCTCTGAAGCCTTAGCTATGATGTTACAATTTTTATTTGACTAACGTCTGGGCCAGTCGCCTTTGCCAGAGTCTGGGAGCCAAAAAAATATTCGGGGTTCATCCTGATCAAACAATTTTGGACTTCAGCTTATTTCAGGTGTGACTTATAGATATCTAGAGAGGTCTTGAAAAACACAACAGGTAACCCACCTTAGATGTCCAAAGCACTATATATGGTTTTTAAACTCGATGCGATGTCTGCATCTTGGTCTAAATTTGCTGGTAGACTTTATCTTCACTATAATTTGGGTAGCTTCATTGGCGGCCTTCTGTGGTATTATACGTGCTTCAATGGCAATACAATCATCACCCACGCATGAAGACTGTATGAACGAATGAATATCGTGGGAACCGTACTGTCAACAACGGTTCTTCCACAGATTAGTAACATTTTGACCTAGTAAAAACCTTCAAAGGAAACTTACACTGTCAGTATCTAGCGACGGTATTTCCACATTTTCATTGCCATTTTTGATTTGTCGCATCGAATTTTTAAGATTTTCGACGTACGAAAGCAATTGTCCCTCTACTTCTCCAATTCTTGAGAGAAGGACTTTCTCGTGGAGTTTTCTGCAATATTATACTTCTCTCCACGGTCGAATAATTTGTGAGCGTTGCAGAACTCTGTCGACTTTTTGCAACCCCATCTCCTTCACATTAATAGATGTTAGGGCATGTTTTCGATGCAATGCGCGACAGGTATTTAATGCACAGCTAGATGTTTTCTGATTCTCTTTATTTGTTACGATTTCCGACTCCTACCTAAGCTCATGCCAATCTAATGCATGAACACCATAAAGGTATCACTTTATACGTTTGAGGCGTAGTGAATTGATTTGTACGAGTGGGGATTTTTCCGAGGCTGATTCGCAGCAGCAGGATCGGTGACTCAACATAAACACCGACAACGACGACTTTCACCATTCCATCACCGTGCAAAGAGAAAAAAAAGATGCACAACGCCCAGAACTACGAACGACGAATGATCGTCCAGCTATAACTTTACGACCTGGGAAGGGGAGACAATCTTCCGTCCCTAATTCCTCTCTCTCTCATGATGAAGACGCATTGTTTAGCTTCAGGTATCCATAACTGTGACGAAAAGGGCATGACAGCCTAGGCGATGCAACCAGCAGCAGATATTTACAGAGCTCAAAGGAGCCATCCATTCAATCTAAATACGAATTCAGGTACAACACCAACATGGAAGAGCTCAGGGTCAATGCATTATGGTATGCATCTACAAAGCAGCACAATCGGATATATTTGTTGTGGGTCGCTCCTAAGCATTGGACAAAGAGAGAGCTGAGTGGGATAGCTTTCTCCAAAGTATTAAAGAAGTAGGAAGCTGTAGACGTCACAGTCACCACTGATCGAAAAGCCGCCAAAAGGTAGGCTAGCATTGGCGAAAACTGGGCTCGCAAAGATGGAGAGCGTTATCAATAAGAATCAACAATTACGACAAAAAAATTTGGCTGCTACTGATCAGGTTGGTTCACTTCACAAACGGCGTATCTCGGAAGAAGATGCTTTCAGTCCCTATTCACCTGAAAACTAGTTCAAAAGGATAGCCGCACTCCCAAAATAAGTTGTAGGGAAAGGAAGATGCGCTGCGGCTAAACGGCAGTGAATGCTGTCGCCGACGTTTGAGGCAGGCGCAGCAGGGTGACCAGGGGTATAGGCTCAAGTATGCACTCGTAATCAGAAAGAGCACGAGTACGAACCCTGCTGAGGCAAATGACCATGCATCGCAAGAAACGCTGCAAGGATGGCACGGTCACCAGCGTCAGCCTCACAGCCGGCTGATTTATAAATCCATCACAGCACAAATATTTGAAGTGTCAAAAGAAATCAGCGATAATGACCGGATTTCACCCAGTAGTGGCGCATATGACCACATTCGAGCTCTGTGGCTAGTTCTGAATTAGGGCTACTGAAGAATGAAGGACTCAGACAGAATCTTTGCATTGGGGCTCTGAATTCCGGATCGCCCACTCGGGAAACCAGAGAGGTTGTTGGTGTGTTGATGCGGAAGAAGGTCCAATTCTATGCCTTCATTGGACACGCTGGACAGCCGCAAAGACAGAGATTTCGGGAGGGTGTTAAGCTTCACTACAGCGGAGAGGACACCAAATGAAATAGTGTGACCACAACAATGACGGAGTCTCTTGCAGATTTGGTCTCCGCTGCCAATGATGAGCGCGAATCAGAGCCGTAGGTAGTCGACGTCGATCCCGTCCAACACCTTCTGAAGCGCCAAGTTGAAAGCGTCCAACGAGCGGTATAGGCGTTCTGCAATCTTGCTCTTCAATTACCGCCAAACAGAGAAGTTCATTAGGTTGAGGTCTAGCGAAGAGGAAGCCCAGGTATGTCACCACAGTACCTGGGAAAGCGCGCATTCAGTGCGACTTTCGTCGAATTTGTGGCGTGTGAAGGAGATCTATCTTGCTGAAGGACAAGGGTCCGGTAACCGAAGTGTTCAGTGACCCAGGGTAAGAGGTTGTATATTAAAACTACTTTTTGGTGAACCTCACATTGGATTTTCACATTTTTATTGATGAAGACCAGTTTTGCTTTCCTATGTCAGCCCGGCCCAAACTATCACACTTTCGAACGATGGGTTACCACGCACAAGACGGCGTTTTGTGGACCTGCTGCCAACTTTTGGCAACAACTATCTCTGCTTTGACGGATTTAGCGAAGATTTTCTCATCAGTCCATATCAGGTAAGCACTCTCGAAGAAGTTTCTTGCATCTGCGCTCTCAGAGAAGTTTTACACATCTTATCAGCCGACTTTTTTTAGACTGTTCCGAAAGAGGTGCCCTCGCACAGCGTGTAACTGTTTAGCTTGAGGACGCGTTTCATAATCTTCTAAACGTTCTGACGCTGATGTTGAGGACAGAAGCAATCCGATTCGTGCTGACTCCATCGCTGCTTGTGATCCTATCCCTTATGATGACACGAACCCTCAGTGTGTCGCTCGTCCACTTTTTGACATCTCAGTGGCTTGTCCTCGATTCCTAAAAGCAGCAGGGACATTTGGAAGGCTTGTAGAAGGAACGTTGAGTAGCTCTACGATGTCACAACCCCTGAAACCTTCTTTGAGCAAGTTCTCGACGGCGAGTCGATGCGCAGAATCTTTTCTTGCGATTGTTCAAGTGGTCGATCAATCAATGACTTATAAGACTCTTTGTCCAGCTCCTGCGCTTCCTGAAAGTTCTCTAAGATATTGAAAAAACCTATTGGCAAGGTGCCAGCAAAAGTTAAATGGCGCGTCCTATGCTTTTCAGTCACCTCGTAATGCGTGAAATGAACAATTTTTCTCCACGACATTGCTCTTATTTATCAAATCTTGTCGTATATCCTATCACAAGAAGGAAGCCGAAAACCCTTTCACCCTTCCTAAATTTCTACTGTTCTGCAACATATGTGTGATTTGTTTGGTAGTGAAAATGAGCTTTCCTGAATTTTCTTGCTTTTGAAGGCTGAATTCTCATCATGGGGTGTATGTCGTTTGTCGCGATCCCTCCCATCGCACCGCCCATTAGACGCGGTTTGCGAGCTGGACACCTCGTCCAGGCGATCGAGCATTCTACTGCCCATCCAGATGATAGAAGCTCGATCGGTGACGCCACGCTGGTAGGCAGAATACAAGCAGGTCCACGATTCGGTGACTAATATTAGCGGTGTCATCGATCAAGCTTCTATCAGTCGGATGTGCATTCGGTTGCCCGATCACGTTGTCCAGCTCACAAACCGCGTAGAATGGGCGGCGCCATGGGAGAGATTGCGTCAAACGACCGCCTTCCTTTACCATGTGAACTTAATTTTAATTTGACTTTTCCCGTCTCTCTTTACAGAAATATTTTTCTTTACTGTTCTTCATCTCTTATCTCTTCATGTTCTTAATTGCTGTGTTTTGCTCCTCAAATGAAACAAAAAATCTAGTTGAAAAAAGAATAAATCTCGTAACCTGCGCTGCATCTCCTCATCAAGGGTGGTGCCAAACTTGTTTCGATCAGATTCAAGTCTCTTCTCTAACGCTTCCAATGCCACTCCTATCTTTTGGAATCGACTTTTTTGTATAGCCTGATCTTCCTAGGCGACATAAGTTCATTTTCAGCCTTTTTCACACTTTCCGGGTTGCAACTTACGAGAAGCCTCTTGCTAAGACTATCCAGTCGGTCCTCCTGAGCCTTGAGCCTACCAGCGATATCGTGCGTTACTCTGGAATCCATCTTGTCGCATTTAGCTGTTTGCGACTTGAAACTCTGAATATTTATACAGGCATAACTTAACATCGTCAGAGTCTAATATACAGCTAAACAACAGCTTTCGAAATTCATAGAAGGTGGGGTAGTTAGTCTCATACGGCTCAGCTCTTATTTTACTTTCATATTCGTAAACAGTGATACGAAGTCTACCGATACACCTACCCGAGGGGCACTTTCTACCGAATCGCAAAGCACAGGATTCTAGGTGAGACAATCGAAAATGAACAGAACTTTTCGATACAGGGACAAAAGTTATGAGAGAAGAGTATAGAATGTAAGCCAGCTTAACACTAACGAAAATGAAGGATTCTTCGTTGGCCCCTTGTTGACCTTTGGTAGTTCTTCTCACTGGTTCTTTATGACTGCTTTGCTTTGAAATACCAGAAAAGAAGTGGTTCCCGAGTTTTGTTAAATTCACAATGATGGGAGAACAGATTTTCGAACAGGATCTGGTGGTATTTTAGCGCTTTCGATAATGCATTAGGTCTAGCTTATTTTCAATACTGTATACTCGCTGGCCTACCACCTCAACGCGGTGGGTGTGTGAATGTGCGGCGTGTGGGCGTGTCCGCTTTATCACTCTTGTTTAAAAAAGCCGGGTTGTGTTGCAATTTTTAGTATTTCTTCATGTGCTCCAATGCAGAGTTCCGGTAATTTCCAGTTGTGCGAGGCTTTATATTGACTCGCTTGCCGCTTCGCGTTTAAAGCTGTGATTAGGTAGTTGTCGAAGAACTGGAGGGATGGCGGCCCCCTTGCTGGAGTCTTCCTTGTCCGTCCGCTCGAGGTCGCGGTTGGATTCGTTCTTCATGTGTTAAGTTGCACACGGCAAGCCCCGGTACATTACCCCTAAATCACAGCGTTTTGGACTAAGGACAAGGACTCGCTCGGGGAAATATCTGCCCACCAAAAGGGAGGCAACCTGTTGCCCTGCCACACGCCTTCGTCTTTACCATCAGATGTCGGCTTGCATGGTCCGAAAGCTCTCGCCAGCATTTTTTTCTACTGCTCGATGGTAACTTTGCTTGGAGCTTTCATTATCCATTTAGTTATAGTTATAAAAAAACATGTATATAAATTAACGGCACGTCCGCATGTCCACACGGCTAAAAGTGGGCCTCCCACGAGCTAGAGCCTGGCAAGTTACACTGGATATTCATGCCAAAAACAGTAACAGAAGTGGGTCTAATTCTGTGAACCTAAGGGAACCCTAAATACGGCAACGTTGGGGAGGACCGAGTAGGAGCAGCTACTGCCATCTGCCCGAAAGGAGAACGATTAAGATGGCGATCTGTACTTTCGACGCACGGACGCTTGCATCGGAAGCGTGTATAGAAGACCTGATGATGCAAGCTAGGAAAATGAAGTACGACGTCATCGGACTGACCGAGACGAGAAGGCACCGCCCGCTGCACGCTGTATTTGAAACTGAAGAAGAGCTGTCCCTTGGAACATGCGACAGCAGAGGCGTAGGCGGTGTAGGTGTCCTCGTCAATACGCACTTGGCCATGAACATTGATTCGTACGAAAGCTTGACAACCCAAATCGGACGTTTACGATTGAGAAGATGTGGCTCAACCCCAGCTCTAACAATCTTCGTTGTTTACGCACCAACTTCGAACTACGATAAAGAAGAGCTGCAGGATTCGGAGACACTCTACAGAGAACACCATACTTTGTTCGAGGTCATCATCGGTGATTTCAACGCCAAGATTGGCCCCAGAAGAACGGCTGAAGAGCTCCACATCGGGACTTATGAATGGAATGGAATGAGCAGGGGAAAAGGCTAATCGGGTTTATCATGTCGATCCCGATGGACATGGGAGTCACCTGGTGGG